TTGTTATAAACATGCGACAGAGCCCGTATTAGGATGTTTGTGGTAGTTTTTATAGATGATTGTTATAAACATGCTTCAGGTGGTGTATTGTTTATATAGATGCTTGTTTTAAACATGCTACAGGTCCTGTATCAGGATAATAGTGGGAGTTTATATAGACGATTGTTTTAAACATGCTACAGGTCCTGTATCAGGATAATAGTGGGAGTTTATATAGACGATTGTTATAAAAATGCTACAGGTGGTGTATTAGGAAGTTATAGTGGTAGTTTATATAGACGATTTTTATAAACATGCTACAGGAGGTGTATTAGGATGTTAGTGGTAGTTTATATAGACGATTGTAATAAACATGCTACAGAGCCAATTAGGATGTTTTTGGTAGCTTTTATAGATGATTGTTATAAACATGCTAGATGTGGTGTATTAGGATGTTTGTGGTAGTTTATATAGACGATTGTTATAAACATGCTACAGAGCCCGTATTAGGATGTTTTTGGTAGTTTTTATAGATGATTGTTATAAACATGCTACAGGTGGTGTATTAGGATGTTAGTGGTAGTTTATATAGACGATTGTTATAAACATGCTACAGGACCTGTATTTGGATGTTTTTGGTAGTTTTTATAGATGATTGTTATAAACATTCTACAGGTGGTGTATTAGGATGTTAGTTTTATTTTATATTGCGATTGTTATAAACATATGCTACAGGTGGTGTATTAGGATGTTAGTGGTAGTTTATATAGACGATTGTTATAAACATGCTACAGAGCCAATTAGGATGTTTTTGGTAGTTTATATAGACGATTGTTATAAACATGCTACAGGTTGTGTATTAGGATGTTAGTAGTAGTTTATATATAAACGATTGTTATAAACACGCTACAGGTGGTGTATTAGGATATTTGTGGTAGTTTATATAGACCATTGTTATAAACACGCTACAGGTGGTCTATCAGGATGTTACAGTGGTAGTTTATATAGACGATTGTTGTAAACATGCTACAGGTTGTGTATTTGGATGTTAGTAGTAGTTTATATATAAAAGATTGTTATAAACACGCTACAGGTGGTCTATCAGGATGTTACAGTGGTAGTTTATATAGACGATTGTTGTAAACATGCTACAGGTTGTGTATTTGGATGTTAGTAGTAGTTTATATATAAAAGATTGTTATAAACACGCTACAGGTTGTGTATTAGGATGTTAGTAGTAGTTTATATATAAACGATTATTATAAACACGCTACAGGTGGTGTATTAGGATATTTGTGATAGTTTATATAGACCATTGCTATAAACACGCTACAGGTGGTGTATTAGGATATTTGAGATAGTTTATATAGACCATTGTTATAAACACGCTACAGGTGGGGTATTAGGATGTTATAGTGGTAGTTTATATAGACGATTGTTATAAACATGCTACAGGTGGTGTATTAGGATGTTTGTGGTAGTTTATATAGACAATTGTTATAAACATGCTACAGGTGGTGTATTAGGATATTTGTGATAGTTTATATAGACCATTGTTATAAACACGCTACAGGTGGTGTATTAGGATGTTATAGTGGTAGTTTATATAGACGATTGTTATAAACATGCTTCAGGTGGTGTATTAGGATGTTTGCGGTAGTTCAGATGGACAGTTATTCCTGTGGTTTGGTAGACATGTGTGCTACTGGTATCTTCCTGATTGCCTGATCCTCTCCAGCTTTCCCCCCTACTTCCCTGTTGGTGGGGATGCTGATATTGTGAGTTACACAACATAAACAAACAAGCACCACTACACCCATACCCACTGTGTTTATAATAATGTAAGGGGTATATTTAGACCCCTGTCTTACTTTGCTATAGAGATTGGTGTTAAAAGATTTAATGGGAATACCACATCAGGTCATCATCGGGTCAACAAGTAGGTCATACAAGTGGCAATGGTCAAGAGTGGAACATTACTGCATTTGTTATAACACTTTGCATAGCTGCACTCGGAAGATAATCAAAAAGTTTAAACAAATATGGAAGCAAAAGGGTACTGTTAGTATTGATTACAGAAATATAGATATATTCCAGTTTACTGGATAATAACTTGACATGTTGTCAACTATTTCATAAATTCTTCTGAAAGATGAAACAAGAATAAGAACAGTTTAAAGTGTGAAGTATGTATGATGGATCCCTGTTTGGGGCCCCTGAAGCTGGCTGCTGGCTGGAGTAGTGTACTTAATGATTTAGTGGAGAGCTTATCACATGGGGAAGTGTTTGCCAATGCTTGCTGTTGAGGGGTTCCAATGTGCTGTAGTTATTGTTGAAAGTGAAAATCCTTTTTGTTAGTCTGTATCTTGGCTCCCTGGGACTGAAATGCCAGAGTTCGTAGATACATTGATAACTATATATATACACTACTTCTGGGGCAGGACACAGGGCTTTATCAGTTGGTTATTTTTCATTAATATTGTCTGTTTGCTTCCTATTATATGATGTACCTTAAAGCTTTGTAACCATATATATATATTTTTTATATTTAATTCCAACACAAGGACTTCTCAATGTTTTCTTTATATATATATATATATATATAGAAATGATGGATTCTGATGTACATGTGAAACTATAGAAATGATGGATTCTGATGTACATGTGTAACTATAGAAATGACGGATTCTGATGTACCTGTGTAACTATAGAAATGATGGATTCTGATGTACATGTGTAACTATAGAAATGACGGATTCTGATGTACCTGTTTAACTATAGAAATGACTGAATCCGATTTACCGGTGAAACTATAGAGATGACTGATTCTGATGTACCTGTGTAACTATAGAGATGACTGATTCTGATGTACCTGTGTAACTATAGAAATGCCGGATTCTGATGTACCTGTGTAACTATAGAAATGGCTGATTCTGATGTACCTGTGTAACTATAGAAATGATGGATTCTGATGTACATGTGTAACTATAGAAATGATGGATTCTGATGTACATGTGTAACTATAGAAATGACGGATTCTGATGTACCTGTTTAACTATAGAAATGACTGAATCCGATTTACCGGTGAAACTATAGAGATGACTGATTCTGATGTACCTGTGTAACTATAGAAATGGCTGATTCTGATGTACCTGTGTAACTATAGAAATGGCTGATTCTGATGTACCTGTGTAACTATAGAAATGATGGATTCTGATGTACATGTGAAACTATAGAAATGATGGATTCTGATGTACATGTGTAACTATAGAAATGATGGATTCTGATGTACATGTGTAACTATAGAAATGACGGATTCTGATGTACCTGTGTAACTATATAAATGACGGATTCTGATGTACCTGTGTAACTATATAAATGACGGATTCTGATGTACCTGTGTAACTATAGAAATGGCTGATTCTGATGTACCTGTGAAACTATAGAAATGCCGGATTCTGATGCACCTGTGTAACTATAGAAATGCCGGATTCTGATGTACCTGTGTAACTATAGAAATGATGGATTCTGATGTACATGTGAAACTATAGAAATGATGGATTCTGATGTACATGTGTAACTATAGAAATGACGGATTCTGATGTACCTGTTTAACTATAGAAATGACTGAATCCGATTTACCGGTGAAACTATAGAGATGACTGATTCTGATGTACCTGTGTAACTATAGAGATGACTGATTCTGATGTACCTGTGTAACTATAGAAATGACAGATTCTGATGTACCTGTGTAACTAATGAAATGACAGATTCTGATGCAAATGTGTAACTATAGAAATGACGGATTCTAATGTACCTGTACATGTGTAACTATAGAAATGACAGATTCTGATGTACCTGTTTAACTATAGAAATGACTGAATCCGATTTACCGGTGAAACTATAGAGATGACTGATTCTGATGTACCTGTGTAACTATAGAGATGACTGATTCTGATGTACCTGTGTAACTATAGAGATGACTGATTCTGATGTACCTGTGTAACTATAGAGATGACAGAATCTGATGTACCTGTGTTGGGCTAACATTGGCACAGATACTGTAAATGTCACAGATACTGTAAATGTTGCTATTGTTTTGGGCTAACATTGAAACATTTTGTAAAAGTGACAATGTGTCAGGATATTGAAGGCACAGATTCCAGTGAAAGTGTTCATGTTGTGTTGGGATAACATTGGGGACAATTTCAGCAAATTATTGCTGTTGTGTTTGGCTAAAATTTGCCCAGATACCTGGGGAAGTGTACTGTTGTCTAAATGGTTAATTATAACAGTGGCCTAGATTCCAGTGGAAGTGTTAGGGTACTGTTATCTTTGGCTAACAGTGACACAGAGTCCAGGGGAAGTGTTAGGGTACTGTTCTCTTTGGCTAACAGTGACACAGAGTCCAGGGGAAGTGTTAGCTAGGGTACTGTTGTCGTTGGCCAACAGTGACACAGATTCCTGGGGAAGTGTTAGGGTACTGTTGTCTTTGGCTAACAGTGACACAGAGTCCAGGGGAAGTGTTAGGGTCCTGTTGTCTTTGGCTAACAGTGACACAGATTCCTGGGGAAGTGTTTGGGTACTGTTGTCTTTGACTAACAGTGACACAGCTTCCAGGGGAAGTGTTAGCTAGGGTACTGTTGTCGTTGGCCAACAGTGACACAGATTCCTGGGGAAGTGTTAGGGGACTGTTGTCTTTGGCTAACAGTGACACAGATTCCAGGGGAAGTGTTAGGGTACTGTTGTCTTTGACTAACAGTGACACAGATTCCAGGGGAAGTGTTAGCTAGGGTACTGTTGTCTTTGGCCAACAGTGACACAGATTCCTGGGGAAGTGTTAGGGTACTGTTGTCTTTGGCTAACAGTGACACAGCTTCGGGAGGAAGAGTTAGGGTACTGTTGGCTTTGGCTAACAGTGACAAAGAGTCCAGGGGAATCTGTGTCACTGTTGGCCAAAGACAACAGTACGCTAGCTAACACTTCCCCTGGGATCTGTGTCACTGTTGTCTTTGGCTAACAGTGACACAGATTCCAGGGGAAGTGTAAGGGGCACTATTGTCTTTGGCTAACAGTGACACAGAGTCCAGGGGAAGTGTTAGGGGACTGTTGTCTTTGGCTAACAGTGACACAGATTCCAGGGGGAGTGTTTGGGTACTGTTGTCTTTGACTAACAGTGACACAGATTCCAGGGGAAGTGTTTGGGTACTGTTGTCTTTGGCTACAGTGACACAGATTCCAGGGGAAGTGTTTGGGGACTGTTGTCTTTGACTAACAGTGACACAGATTCCAGGGGAAGTGTCAGGGGCACTATTGTCTTTGGCTAACAGTGACATAGAGTCCAGGGGAAGTGTTAGGGTACTGTTGTATTTGGCTAACAGTGACACAGATTCCGGGGGAAGTGTTAGGGTACTGTTGTCTTTGGCTAACAGTGACACAGATCCCAGGGGAAGTGTTAGGGTACTGTTGTCTTTTGCTAACAGTGACACAGATTCCTGTGGAAGTGTTTGGGTACTGTTGTCTTTGGCTAACAGTGACACAGATTCCAGGGGAAGTGTTTGGGTACTGTTGTCTTTGACTAACAGTGACACAGATTCCAGGGGAAGTGTTAAGGTACTGTTGTCTTTGGCTTACAGTGACACAGATTCAAGGGGAAGTGTTAGGGTTCTGTTAAGTGAGGTTAAAACATTGGCCCAGATTCTAGTGCTACTATTGTGTTGGTTTACTTTTAGCAAAGATTGTAATGAAAGTGTAAGAGTACTGTTGTGTCAGGCTGACATTGGCTTAGAATCCTTTCTTTCTCTTACATACATGTATTGAAGTTCCATTATGATTCTAACACATTCCATCCCTACATAAATCTCTCTATTCAAACATTTAACTAGGTGGTTTTTTTTGTAATTTTTATGGAGTTTTCTTGAAATAGATATTCTTACATGTTTTTAAATCATTACAAAAGAAATTCGTTTTTAGCTGATGAACGTTTACAGCTGAATATGTTAAAAATTAATGCATAAAATGTGTGGTATAGCTATAAATCAAATACACAAGGTATCAACTCTATAATTAAAGAAAAGGGGAGGCAATTGCATTTATATTGCCAAGAAAACAGGAACAGAGCAAGGCCAAACTCTTATGAACTTGTAAGCCAATATGATATTTGTTAGTTTGATGATAGAGGAGGGAGGGGGCTAGCAGGGGTATATTGGGACCACATGTGATTTGAGTGATGTAAGTAATATCTATTGTCAGTTATGGACAGGGGATGGTGTGTAAATATTGCATCAGTGATATGTTAACAGAAATGAGTACTGTTGGTATAACAGGAGATCTACATCAGTATGTAATTAATTAGATAGACAAGTGTGTTGGCCTTTCAGCACAGTCATTTGCATCAAAGTCTGGAAATAATGGAAAGCTGTATACCAGGGGTCTGATGGGGGTGCTTATGGCTGCCAACTTGTTGGCTGGTTATAGCCCCTACGATAGTGTATGATAGCAGGGCCGGGCCAGAAATATTCCACTAAAAAATACCAATCACAACATCTACGCACATCTAGAGTATTAATGTACGTCACCACATCCCCCTAATCCTGTGCTTCCTCCTAACCTCCTGTAAACCTATAGGAATCACTCTGGACTGTATAGACATGCAGCCTGACTCCTAATCATGTACTGAATTACAATGATGCAAGATGGTCTAACAACAAGGTGTAAGGAAGTAGACAAAACATTATTAAGGTTCTGCATCAGAGATGCATGTACACATTCCCTGTAATAATCATGGTGTCTGTCCGTCCCTCCCTCTACAGTCACTTCACACTTTTGTTTCTAATGATATATATGTCAGAATCTAGGAGTTTAAGTAAAGGAACCTGAAAATTTACATCGTGATATACAAATTGCAATGTCTTAGGAAAATGGGCAATGGTTTTTTTTAAAGGTCAGGGGCTTTTAATTTGCTATAAATAGAACCAGGAGTGATGGTGATAGGGGTGGGGGGGCACGCCATTAAATTGTATTGTAATATATTGTAACACCCTTTCTGACTCTAATCTTCATAGTAAATGGTATTTTATGGTACCATACATGATTAGCACCATAGTTTTTCTGGATCAAAGAAATCTTCACTGCCAAAAGTCAAGGTCACTGTAACTAGAAATAAAATGGTTGATTATATCAAAATTACATTGTTTGCTGGAGATGGTTGATCAAGGAAATTTGTCTTTATTAGTTGAAGATAGTTTATCTGGGGCATGTGTCTATAATTTTGAAAATAATTGATCTTGATGATATGCTTCTATTTGCTGGAGATCTTTGAAGATGTGTCTATGGTGGGGTAGTGTTACTGATGTTGTCCTGGTCTGTCTTGTGTTGCTTCATGTACTAGTGTCCCTGATCCCAACTTGATTGTCGTTTGCATTGCTCTACCAACTTCATTTCATAACAAATTTTGATGAAATTATATACAAAGGTCAAGTATGAGAATAACTCTGAGGCAGCTATACTTTCAGTGTTCCAAGGTCAAGGCCAAGGTCACTGTTACTATTTATAGAAATGTATTAACCAATTCAATAACCTCACTCTACCAACTATGTTTCTTGATGAACTTTGATCAAACTTAGTACCAAGGTCAAGTATGAGATTTTTTTAGCAAGTTTGTATTGTAGAGTAAAGATCAAGGTCACCATCAATTACTATTTATAGAAGTGACTATAATTTGCATGGGAGCACGAGCATTCTTGTCTTACAAAGATTTTCTGATTGTTTAAAATCATTGATCTGGATGATGTGTCGATATTTGTGTAAGATGGTTGATCAGGAAGTTGTGTGTATTTCTAGGAGATTCTTGATCAGGAGTAATGCATATAGATATTTTAATGGAGACCTGACTAAAAGGATGTATATCTATTCATTGAAGTTAGTGTTATGATTGTGTAATAACAAATATTTACTTGGTAAAGATTGTCCACAAGATCACTTATACTCTTGAGAATCAGCATTGTGAGTACCAATAATGCAAACACTTGTGTGATATTGATTGTTGTAGTGGTTGCCCGTCATGCCATATACCTAAACACTCATAACTGCTCGCCACTTCTCCCCAATTTTGATATACTGTCGCCACAGACTCTCTGTGGGTTACACTCAGAAGACAGCAAACACACAGACATTGATTCTGTTTTCTTTGTAAAAAAATAACACAAGACAGCATTGCAAATATATATGTAATGGTATATAGCTTTTATTACACATAGTAACAGTTGCTATGGATTGATCATGACATGGTGCTCTCTGGTGTAACTGTAAAATATTTACAGTTTTTATGTTTCACCAATAAATATTCAATGTTAGAGGAAACACTTATTTCCTCGATACAGTTTAACAGATAGTTATACTAATGTACTGGTATCCATAAAATTATCTTCCAAATTAAACAGTTTCATAGCGTAACAATTTGTTTTGCATCCAGAACCCGTCTTTGAACTTACTTGTGTTTTCAACCTCACACAAAACCTGTCCTCAAACCAATTTTGATTTTGTTGTGGGTGACATCATTTAACTGTGAAGTCAGAATTTGACCTCTATACAATCTTAAGTGAATTACAACCCATTTTTCATAGTGTCGGGTTCTTGGTCAATGAATGAACAGTATTCTTTTCTAACTTGTATTAACAGTTAGGTATATGATCTATCTTGAGTTGGAATAATTTGAAGTACTGTGTATGTCTAAAACCTGGAATTATAGACAAAATGTATACAAATAAAGTTCACTGTTAATCAGTTTCTTAAAGCTAACCTTATAATCAATTATAGGTCATTTTAATTTGTGTATCAATAAATATGTCAAATAGTGAATTTTCATCTGAATTTTATTGTGAATTTACTTATAAATGTACATGAACATTATGCTAAATATTCTAGTTGAATTAACAAAATAGAGAGACAGGACCTATTCTGTAGTCTAAAGGCCAGTTTTATGTCCGTAATATATATATATATAACAAAGCTTCCAATTAAGGTTTCAGATTTGGGTCATTTAAATGCTTGTAACCAATTTTCAATAGCAGAAAGCTTCCCAATACTGCAGCGTCATCATATTTAGAAAGAGTGTCTTTAAACATCAACTGCTTTTCTTGTCATGACAGGATTCTGATTTAAATGTCAATTTTTATTTTTATTCAAATGTTTCAAAAGTATCAGATCTCATCATAAATATTGCAAATATAAGCCTATGGTAGATATTAAAACAAACGAAAGATAGACAATTAAATGATGTAAACATTGGAAATTTAAAATTGAAAAAGATATATTTGTATGAATCTCATCTAAAATTTTGAAATGATGAGTCACTCGCCCTGTTTAATTTGGAGTGATATTTTGGTCCTAGCTGGCTTTCAGTATCTGATAATGTATTCCAAATCACATATCTTACATACCTGCTTTATCACATACCTGGTAAGTTTGTCATGACCCCAGTAATTTGGGAATAGTAAAATTTAACTGTATATCATTAAATCTGATCATGATTAGTAATATTTAGTTACTTTCTAGTGTCTGAAGGGATATATTTCTTTCACAGTTGGGGAGATGTCGGGAGGATAGATCCTATATCTAATGCTGATCAGGATAATAGTAACATTTAGTAAATTTATAGGGTATGTCTTTAGGGTGGGTATCTTTTCTGACCTCTCTAAATAGTAACAGTTAGTAACATTTCATTACTTTCTGGTGCAAATTGTACATGTCTTGTAAGTTGGGTATCTGTGTTGACCTCTATATGATAAGTTACAATAAGTTACTTTCTTGTGTCTGAGGACTTTTGGTTTGGTTTGATTTAGTATTGTTTAACGTCCTATCAACAGCTATGGTCATTTAAAGACGGCCTCACCTGTGTGCAAGATGCATGTGTGTATTGTATGCATGTGTGTTTTGGGAGGCTGCAATATGTTCGTGTTTGTCTCCTTGTGATAGCGCGGAACTGATGCCGACTTTATAGTGCTACTTCAGTCTGAGGACAGTTGTGTGGTTATGATCCTTGGTAGCTGCCATGTCACTGGAGACATTGTGTGTTGTAGGGCCTGGTCTGTGACTGTAGACATGAGTGGGTCACAATGAGCCACCATTCTTGCTATAGGCTAGAGACAGCCTTCCTATTGATTTTTGTCAAATCCACATGAAGATCCTGACAGAAGGGAGGGTCTCTTAAATTTAGCTTTGTCATGTCTGTCCATATCAGCAGATCTCTCTTGATTCCAATGTCTGTCCATCAGCAGATTGATTTGTCTGTCCATATATCAGCTAATTCCTATGTATGTCCGTATCAGCAGAACTCACTGTCTGTCCATAGATCAGCTGATTCCAACCTCTGTCCGTTACAGTTTCAACTTTTTGTCTATTAGTTAATTCCAGTGTTTGGTTGTATCAGATTCAAGTGTCTGTCTTACACTTGATTCTAATTTTTGTTCATATCAGATTCCACGGTCTGTATCGGTAAATTGTCAGTCAGTTTCACATGATTCCATTGTCTGTCTATTGTAGTTGATTCCTGTGTCTGTCTATAGCAGTTGGTTACTGTGTATGTCTATAACAGTTGATTCACATGTCTGTCTATAACAGTTGGTTACTGTGTCTGTCTGTAACAGTTGATTCCTGTGTCTGACTATTGTAGTTGATTCCCATGTCTGGCTATAACAGTTGATTCCCATGTCTGAATGTCTCAGTTGGTTCCTGTGTCTGTCTATTGTAGTTGACTCCCATGTCTGTCTATAACAGTTGGTTCCTGTGTCTGTCTATTGTAGTTGACTCCCATGTCTGTCTATAACAGTTGACTCCCATGTCTGTCTATAACAGTTGAGTCCCATGTCTGTCTATAACAGTTGATTCCTGTGTCTGTCTATAACAGTTGATTCCCATGTCTGTATGTCTCAGTTGGTTCCTGTGTCTGTCTATAGCAGTTGATTCCTGTGTCTGTCTATTGTAGTTGATTCCCATGTCTGTCTATAACAGTTGATTCCCATGTCTGTCTATAACAGTTGATTACTGTGTCTGTCTATTGTAGTTGATTCCCATGTCTGTCTATAACAGTTGGTTCCTGTGTCTGTCTATAACAGTTGATTACTGTGTCTGTCTATTGTAGTTGATTCCCATGTCTGTCTATAACAGTTGATTCCTGTGTCTGTCTATAACAGTTGATTCCCATGTCTGTCTATTGTAGTTGATTCCCATGTCTGTCTATAACAGTTGGTTCCTGTGTCTGTCTATAACAGTTGATTACTGTGTCTGTCTATTGTAGTTGATTCCCATGTCTGTCTATAACAGTTGATTCCTGTGTCTGTCTATAACAGTTGATTCCCATGTCTGTCTATTGTAGTTGATTCCCATGTCTGTCTATAACAGTTGGTTCCTGTGTCTGTCTATAACAGTTGATTACTGTGTCTGTCTATTGTAGTTGATTCCCATGTCTGTCTATAACAGTTGATTCCTGTGTCTGTCTATAACAGTTGATTCCCATGTCTGTCTATTGTAGTTGATTCCCATGTCTGTCTATAACAGTTGGTTCCTGTGTCTGTCTATAACAGTTGATTACTGTGTCTGTCTATTGTAGTTGATTCCCATGTCTGTCTATAACAGTTGATTCCTGTGTCTGTCTATAACAGTTGATTCCCATGTCTGTCTATTGTAGTTGATTCCCATGTCTGTCTATAACAGTTGGTTCCTGTGTCTGTCTATAACAGTTGATTACTGTGTCTGTCTATTGTAGTTGATTCCCATGTCTGTCTATAACAGTTGATTCCTGTGTCTGTCTATAACAGTTGATTCCCATGTCTGTCTATTGTAGTTGATTCCCATGTCTGTCTATAACAGTTGGTTCCTGTGTCTGTCTATAACAGTTGATTACTGTGTCTGTCTATTGTAGTTGATTCCCATGTCTGTCTATAACAGTTGATTCCTGTGTCTGTCTATAACAGTTGATTCCCATGTCTGTCTATTGTAGTTGATTCCCATGTCTGTCTATAACAGTTGGTTCCTGTGTCTGTCTATAACAGTTGATTACTGTGTCTGTCTATTGTAGTTGATTCCCATGTCTGTCTATAACAGTTGGTTCCTGTGTCTGTCTATAACAGTTGATTCCCATGTCTGTCTATAACAGTTGATTCCTGTGTCTGTCTATAACAGTTGATTCCTGTGCCTGTCTATTGTAGTTGATTCCCTTCCCATGTCTGTCTATAACAGTTGATTCCTGTGTCTGTCTATAACAGTTGATTCCCATGTCTGTCTATTGTAGTTGATTCCCATGTCTGTCTATAACAGTTGGTTCCTGTGTCTGTCTATAACAGTTGATTACTGTGTCTGTCTATTGTAGTTGCTTCCCATGTCTGTCTATAACAGTTGATTCCTGTGTCTGTCTATAACAGTTGATTCCCATGTCTGTCTATTGTAGTTGATTCCCATGTCTGTCTATAACAGTTGGTTCCTGTGTCTGTCTATAACAGTTGATTACTGTGTCTGTCTATTGTAGTTGCTTCCCATGTCTGTCTATAACAGTTGATTCCTGTGTCTGTCTATAACAGTTGATTCCCATGTCTGTCTATTGTAGTTGATTCCCATGTCTGTCTATAACAGTTGGTTCCTGTGTCTGTCTATAACAGTTGATTACTGTGTCTGTCTATTGTAGTTGATTCCCATGTCTGTCTATAACAGTTGATTCCTGTGTCTGTCTATAACAGTTGATTCCTGTGCCTGTCTATTGTAGTTGATTCCCTTCCCATGTCTGTCTATAACAGTTGATTCCTGTGTCTGTCTATAACAGTTGATTCCCATGTCTGTCTATTGTAGTTGATTCCCATGTCTGTCTATAACAGTTGGTTCCTGTGTCTGTCTATAACAGTTGATTACTGTGTCTGTCTATTGTAGTTGATTCCCATGTCTGTCTATAACAGTTGATTCCTGTGTCTGTCTATAACAGTTGATTCCCATGTCTGTCTATTGTAGTTGATTCCCATGTCTGTCTATAACAGTTGGTTCCTGTGTCTGTCTATAACAGTTGATTACTGTGTCTGTCTATTGTAGTTGATTCCCATGTCTGTCTATAACAGTTGATTCCTGTGTCTGTCTATAACAGTTGGTTCCTGTGTCTGTCTATAACAGTTGATTACTGTGTCTGTCTATTGTAGTTGATTCCCATGTCTGTCTATAACAGTTGATTCCTGTGTCTGTCTATATACTAACATCTGTCCTATTTAGCCATACATCACCTATTACTTTTAAGATCCTTACATAAATATTGATGTCAAAATCATATCTCAAAGGTTATCACATTATATTGGTTTGTTATTGTTTGATGCATTCTGAGCTACTAGGCACTTTTTGATATTTATTAGGTTGGACATTTTCTGAAATTCCATTCCCTCTTGTTCAGGTAACATATTCGTGTTTTTTGTGAAGGACCAAGATGATTATGAAGAGCAGAATACCACCTTGATCATTGACAAGATGCATGTGTCTAGAAGAAAATTGGTTGTAGCAGGTTTTGTTTGTGTACATTGATTAATTACACTAAATCTCTGGTGTAGTGGTAGTTCCTGGAGAGTGAGCATCCACTGATCTCATTCTGGTTAAAATCACTGACTAAATATATTACACTGATCAGCAATTAGCAGTGATGCAGCACAGACGCATGCGTCTAGATTACACATGTTAACTGCTAATTAATTCAAAGTAGTGCTTTAATTCCATTAATACGAACAGACCACCTCACCATGTACAGACATTAATGGCAACTGGCACAATGGTTGTGCTAGCTAACATTTGATATCTGCATTTTGTCAGTGTGCATTACACTGTGTGTGCATAGTTTACATGCTGACAGTCAAGACCAGTGGCTGAAAGCTACTGTAATATATTCTTAGTAGGGTATATAGGACTGAAGCCAGCTAGAATATAGTGTATAAGTGGGGTATAGGTAGGACTGGAGTCTGAATATCGTGTATTAGTGGGGTATAGGTAGGACTGGGGTCTGAATATAGTGTATAAGTGGGGTATATAGGACTGAAGACAGAATATGGTGTATAAGTGGGGTATAGGTAGGACTCAAATCTGAATATAGTGTATTAGTGGGGTTTAGGTAGGACTGGAGTCTGAATATAGTGTATTAGTGGGGTATACAGGACTGAAGACAGAATATAGTGTATAAGTGGGGTAAAGGTAGGACTGGAGTCTGAATATAGTGAATTAGTGGGGTATAGGTAGGACTGGAGTCTAAATATAGTGTATTAGTGGGGTATAGGTAGGACTGGAGTCTGAATATAGTGTATAAGTGGGGTATAGGTAGGACTGAAATCTGAATATAGTGTATTAGTCAGGTATATAGGACTGAAGACAGAATATAGTGTATAAGTGGGGTATAGGTAGGACTGGAGTCTGAATATAGTGTATAAGTGGGGTATAGGTTGGACTGAAATCTGAATATAGTGTATTAGTGGGGTATATAGGACTGAAGACAGAATATAGTGTATTAGTGGGGTTTAGGTAGGACTGGAGTCTGAATATAGTGTATTAGTGGGGTATAGATAGGACTGGAGTCTGAATATAGTGTATAAGTGGGGTATAGGTAGGACTGGAGTCTGAATATAGTGTATTAGTGGGGTATAGGTAGGACTGGAGTCTGAATATAGTGTATTAGTGGGGTATAGGTAGGACTGGAGTCTGAATATAGTGTATTAGTGGGGTATAGGTAGGACTGGAGTCTGAATATAGTGTATTAGTGGGGTATAGATAGGACTGGAGTCTGAATATAGTGTATAAGTGGGGTATAGGTAGGACTGGAGTCTGAATATAGTGTATTAGTGGGGTATAGGTAGGACTGGAATCTGAATATAGTGTATTAGTGGGGTATATAGGACTGAAGACAGAATATAGTGTATTAGTAGGGTATAGATAGGACTGGAGTCTGAATATAGTGTATAAGTGGGGTATAGGTAGGACTGGAGTCTGAATATAGTGTATTAGTGGGGTTTAGGTAGGACTGGAGTCTGAATATAGTGTATTAGTGGGGTATATAGGACTGAAGACAGAATATAGTGTATTAGTAGGGTATAGGTAGGACTGGAGTCTGAATATAGTGTATGAGTGGGGTATAGGTTGGACTTGAGTCTGAATATAGTGTATAAGTGGGGAATAGGTAGGACTGGAGTCTAAATATAGTGTATTAGTGGGGTATAGGTAGGACTGGAGACTGAAAATAGCATACAGTGAGGTATTATTTAATTTCCAGGCAGGACTTGAGACTTGGTGTATATAGCGGGATATAGGCTGGTGTCGAGACTGTTGTTTACTTGTTAAAGACAACTTTGATCCATAAGAAAATTAACAGGTTATTTATCTGAACCTTAATTATGTTTTGATATGCGTTAACTGATGTTAATCTTGTGGAGTCTGCCAAAGCTGTTACTGTAATCTTTCAAATTTTATAAAAGTATTGCAGTTTAAATATTTGCCTTCATCCGACTTCAATTTTATGGTATTAGCAGTTTCAGCTAGCACTTGGTGTCATTATAAATTTATCTGTAAAAAGAAATTTGGTGAGACATTTGAAAACTGTTTGAAATTGTATTTAACAGTATTTCGTTCACTACCTTTAAAGATTTAATTAGCGATTGATTTGAATTTGATAGAAGTTTTTAAGTGGTTGATTGAATTATTCATTGTCTTGTGATTATCGAGTCGTTTGATGATTATCGGGTAGGTGAAGAAGGAGGGGACATCTCCTTAAGATAGTGGTAAAATGTTGTTTGTGTCGAATGTCAGGGCACCTGTGCTGGTGTAATTGTGACACTAAAGCCCTCAGATCCCCAACGGTCCACTAGCCACAGACAATAGCAGCCCTCTGTAATTATCGGGGGTGCATGGTAAATCAATTTGTGCCTCGATTAGGGTAGTGTGACTGGGGTATACTTGGAGCCCCCACACTGCCTATCACTCCCTCCTTGTAGAGGAGTTCCCAGCACTGATCCACCTTTATTAGAAGAGAAACTTGTCAAAGAAGTAAATTGGTTGGAGTATTGGAATTGCTTTGACCTGAAAGGGGCCGAGGAGATATGTAGGTTTCATGTGTACACATCTATTGTAGGGGCCACTGAATTACAACCTGTTTATCCAGTCCTAATTTGCTATGCTCATTGCATTCGTTGCACACCTAGGGTTGTCAACTACACTGCCTTCATTGCACACCTAGGTTTGTCAACTACACTGCCTTCGTTGCACACCTAGGGTTGTCGACTACACTGCCTTCGTTGCACACCTAGGGTTGTCAACTACACTGCCTTCATTGCACACCTAGGGTTGTCATCTACACTGCCTTCGTTGCACACCTAGGGTTGTCGACTACACTGCATTCGTTGCACACCTAGGGTTGTCGACTACACTGCCTTTGTTGCACACCTAGGGTTGAACTTTATGGTCCTTTTACCTTGATAGTGATAATTTTGTTTTTGAAATTATGAAATAATCAATTTTTTACTTAATTTCAAGATCCATTTAATTGTGTTATTGAACTTTTTTGTGGCTAATTAAAGTCTATACCTGGGACACCGGTGGATTAGATTTCAGTAATTTGCTTATATACTGAACCAATTTACTGGTTTTAGTGGTTAAATTTGCCGTGCATCTTAAACCCTTTGTGGTCCTCCAGTTTTCCAGTGAGGAGTTTATATTGCACAGACGGGTCAAATTTCTCACTCAGGTTTTTTTTAAACTGCTAGGCTTGGGAGCTTTACTTCCAACTTGACTGATTTCTCATGGAATGATGCGTATGTGGGATTGTATTTCATATTTAGCTACATGTTGGTATACATGTGTATGGAACACACACTTACAAGTCATCACACCAAACACAAACGTCCCTCCACCCCACTATTGAATCAGACCCCAAGCCTCCCCAGGGTGCACATGTTAACTCTCAGTGTGAATAGACACGTGGAGATAAAAAGGTCAACAGGTTTGTTTTTGTGATGTAATGAACTACCATTTTATTTAGTCTTCACCTAACCATGTGACTTGGTGCGAGGGAAGACCTTCCTTTGCTGTTTAAAAACCGCAGTTATTTCCCCTAGGAATCTACAGCCCAAGTGATAGGTGATAGTGTATCTGTCACCTGAGGTTTTAGTGCAGTTTCGGTCACCTCTGTCTGGATGTATACAATGGCCAATGAAAATATCTATACTTAGCTATACACATAATGTACATCACACTTTCTTTGTTTGGGTCTCCACAATGTTACGGTAAATCTGCTGGTGAATCTACTCTTGCTGAGAGTGGAGGACTGGATTTCTAGGCCATTTGATAACCTTTGGATGTGTCTTCTGCTCTTCTGAGATCACAGGAAGTAAGCTTCAGTCAAAATTGATAAATTATGGAGAGGTCAAGAGGTCAACCTACAGGTAAAGCCTGGTATGGGGCTGAATGGGTTTGATCTGAATGGCCGAGTGTTTGGTATGGGTAGTGTTGTGGTCTAGAGACCAGTCCAGACCCTCTTTGAGGGTTCAAGTGTCCCACTCTGAACTGTGAGTAGCATGTCACCATTACTGGGATTTATAACCTGCAAAATGTGAAGACAGCACCAACAGTTTTTAAGTTCCAAGGGAGGTAACTCCAAGAGGTAAAGTTCTTGAAATAACTGTATGTAAATTTTTGTGTGTGTACGCTTAGCTGTGTATTAGAATGTGTAGTAGTTGCTACTTGTGTGCTTACACACATATTTGTGGTGACCATGAATCACACTTCCAATAATGATCTGATGTAAAAGTTATTTATACTATAGTTATATACACAGACCATTCTTCATACCCCTTAATACACAGTGTATAAACACAGAATTAAAGATCTTATGTTTTGTGTGACATACTCACAACCAAGGCATCAGAACATTATATACATAAAATCTGGTGTGCCTGACTGGTTGAACAAACACACATGGAGACAAAAAGGTGGAATAGTGGTACTTTAAAAAGAAACAAAACAATGTGACATTGGGGTACTGGTGTTAGAGTGTCGGGTGTGACTGGGTAGACACATCTATTAGGTGGTCGTCCCCACAGCCGGTGTACTCCCTGTACCTGGTATTGTGTGAAGTATTTGAAGAGCGCTTTGTTTGATCGTGAGGTGTCCCATTTATGTTTGCATTGTACACCTTGGCTACACATGGTATGCTGTTCAACCTCATCATAGCGGCTGATCATTGAGGGGTGCCCAGGGGGGCAGTTGTTGGTTATTCAATATACTTCAATATAACGCCTGTTTACTCAGCCATTTCATTATAGTAGTATATTCAGTTCTCGTCTACCTTTACCAGTTGAGAAACGTCTGTTGGTTTGTACATTATGTGGATAATGAAATATTTCATACAGTATATGAAGAAGTCAAGTTGGAGATACTTCAAATTATAAACAATGTAATATATAGATAAACTCAGAATGTTTTAAACACTGTCATATATAGATAAACCCAGAATGTTTTAAACACTGTCATATATAGATAAACCCAGAATGTTATAAACACTGTAATATATAGATAAACCCAGAATGTTATAAACACTCATATATAGATAAACCCAGAATGTTATAAACACTGTCATATATAGATAAACTTAGAATGTTATAAACACTGTCATATATAGATAAACTCAGAATGTTATAAACACTGTCATATATAGATAAACCCAGAATGTTATAAACACTGTAATATATAGATAAAGAATAAAGGAGTTTATCTAAACTTGTGGTAGTTTAAAGTAATCAGTTACGCTGTCAATTATGGTCGATTGCACAACAGTTAGTAAAATATCTGAAACTAAAAGTTTAGTTCTGAAAACCATGCTGATAACTGACACAGGTAAATGATAAGTGGATAATACAAAGAAAACAAAAATTATGCATAATCTTCAGAGCCATGATAGTTCATAATTTTCCTACCTAGGTTCTCTTGGTAAAAGCTGTTGTGTGTATGCCCCGCAAGTAGGTAAAAGTCCCCGTAGCCTGCAAGTGAAGTTCCTAGTAGCCAGCAGGTCTGGAGGTTAATAAAAAATATAAGGTCCATGTATAGCTAGCAGCTTAAGTTTAGGAGATTTAATTCCCAGTGGCCAGCAGGTTAAAGTCCCATCAACCAGCAGGTTAAGATCAGGAGATTAAAGATCTGAGTAACCAGCTGGTTAAGATCCGGAGATTAAAGGTCCCAGTAACTAGCAGGTTAAGATGATCCGGAGGTTAAAGGTCCCAGTAACTAGCAGGTTAAGATGATCAGGAGGTTAAAGGTCCAATTAACTAGCAGGTTAAGATGATCCGGAGGTTAAAGGTCCAAGTAACCAGCAGGTTATATTAAGATCAGGAGGTTAAAGGTCCAAGTAACTAGCAGGTTAAGATGATCCGGAGGTTAAAGGTCCAAGTAACTAGCAGATTATATTAAGATCAGGAGGTTAAAGGTCCAAGTAACTAGCAGGTTAAGATGATCCGGAGGTTAAAGGTGCCAGTAACCAGCAGGTTAAGGTCCCAGTTGCAAGGAGGTTAGGATATAGAGGTCAAGGTGTTAGTAGCTAGCATGATATGATTAGGAGGTTAAGATCCCAGTAGCCAAAAGGTTAAGGTCGGGAGGTTACAGTTCCTGTAGCCAGTAGGTCAAGATCAGCATGTGCAGGTTAGATTCCAATAGACAGGAGGTTGCGGTCTTGAGGTCAAGGCTCCAGTAACTAGCAGGTTAAGATCTGGCAGTCAAGGTTTCAGTAGCCAGCAGGCGGAGATCTGGAGGTTAAGGTTAAAGTAGCCTACAGGTTGAGATATCGATCAGCACATTCAGGTCCCAGTTACCTAAATGTTTACATGTTGCATCTTCATTAGTACACAGCTGAAAATTAAAAAAAACCCCAAAAAAACCAAATATATATGCATTTTTTTCTTCAAATTGGAATATTTCAGAAAACCCCCCCACTATTTTCCATTGGGATTTCTTTAATTTTAGTTATGTATTCAAACTTATGGATAGGAAGTTTATATGTACTTAAGCACTGTTGTTCGTGTTAAAACTCAGTAAAAAATAATTAATTCTCATTTTATTACCTTAAATGATTATTGAAAGTGCTCAATGCTGTAAGCTGCTGATTCAGTTTTGTGTTGTACAAAATGAAATGGTTTCAATCTAGTGCAGTGTTGAAGTTTGAGATTTGTTATTAACGAGATACCTTTTAGCCCTGCACAAGAGTATTGTGACATTTAATTTAGGAACAGTGTGTCAAGTGTTGTTATTATTCATCCTCAGCTGATGATGTTATGTGTGGTGAGCAGACAGGTAGATATGTATTTAGGTCATCTCAACATCACACGAGTTCCTGCTGTACAGGTAAAATGTACAGGTACAATATGCAGGTGGGATATGATTGACATCTGGAACCCACTGCCAAGGTGCTGGATTATGAGCAACAATTAAAAATTGTAAAGGAAATCAAATTATTCAGAGTTTATATATATACATAATAGACAAAATTATGTAGAAGGTTGTGAACTAGCTGTTGCTGGATATAGTACCTGTAAATTAACCAGGTCAGTTGTTTTGAGGAAGATAAAACACTGGTGTGTAGCTAAGGTATGTCTCTCAGGAGACCAGACACTGTCTGATTTACCTGTGGGCCCAGGTACACTTATTAATTACCAATGAATTATAATGGTATGTAAACAGGACAGAATACCTGAATATCTGCAATGGGAAACCGTTTAATTTCAATCTAGATGGCTGTGTGGTGAAGGTTGTTGTTTAGTCAGTGTGCGGGGATGGTCTGGTGACAGTCTGTGAGATGATCAATATTGGGACAATTGTTGTAAAATATCTTCAATATTAGACACATGTAGGGTACAAAAGACAAGTTGTGTGCTGATCACACTTTTTGTGTGTGTATTGATCTGGTCAAGGTCTGTGACTGTGAGGACTGCAAACCAGTGAATTTAAGGTCTGTCACGGTAAACTGGTGTTATCAAATAGTTTACACAAATATTAATGCTGTATTCATAACACACAATAAATAATTGTACAGAGAGGGAATTATTGTTAAAGTCATAACCAGCATAGATTTGTGCTTGAAGGTAATTAATTTGCAACTGCTGTAAATTTAATTCCATCGTTTTTAAGTGTTCACCTATTACATTTTTCAATCCAGGTATAGTACTTTACAGAATCAGTAGCTAAATCATGTCCTGATCATTCCTTCTGCTGCATTATATCAACAGACCATCATCACCTTCTTAAGTTGAGCAACTGCATTATTTATTTCAATCTAACTTTTTTATTATAGTTGTATGCCTACTATACAGTCTATATTATGTGTAGACATTTTACGAGAGTTGATGCCCCTTTGCTGATATCTTGTTATAAATGTTGTCTGAAGTGCTACTGCTTGCCTTCTTCACTGATATTTATCATACTTGGTACACTTGATTTGTAGTACCTGCATCTTTAAACCAATTGTAAGACGCCATAGCTATAGGATTTGTATTTGTTCAAATAGAAGATATGTTGTTTTGATTGGTGTCGTTTGAAAGTCAAGTTTATTCCATGTTCTCTTGTATATCACCTGTTTACTTCCCAGTATATGCAGGTACACACTTATATATATCTCTGGGTCGACCACAATGCTACTTCCCTATCATATTTTTTTTTTCATAGCAGCATTAAACTCTTTTTCAATTAAACAATTTTAACTAATTTCAACTCCTGGTTACCTGTTTCACTATCTTTGCCATAATTTCCAACCATTAGTAATGGGGATTTTCATTATTACTGACTTAATTACATCTTCAAGCATGCAAAAGTTCAAGAGAAAACATTTTGGTCTATCTTAATTTAGCAAGAAGGATCATGATCATTTATAATAAACTGGAAACTATTTTGATATGTCAAATTCATTTGTTTAGGAGATATTCAATTCAGCGATGCCTGTAATTCAGGTTCAATATTAAGTTAAAACAGAAGATAATAAACAATAGCTTGGCCCATCCTGTGGAACAAAATGCATGTAGTCAGTAGATCATTTCAGAAACAACGAGTGGCAAAACGATAGAAAAAAGACGTCCCCAGTGAAACGACTCATCATCATTGCCTCCTAAGGACTCAAGGTTATTAGTATTGATTTTTGCTTAAAACACTTTTGCTTCATTCATGCACAGCCTTGTTGCAGCGGAGGATCTGAGCGCCACCGGTAATTGAACGGATGAGAAATGAATTGTATCAAGGATGTACTTCCCCGTCAGAGTTTCACAAGAGGTGGTGAAAGAAACTGGTTATATTGGCGTTAGATTGTCTGTTTGGATTGCTCTAGTCTCCCCAGTTACATGAATAACAAGGGCC